ATCAATGTGAGAGAAATATATCGACTGGTTGCCTCCCACTACGCCCCGACTGGGAGTGGGCAGCGAACCTGCAACCAAGGTACTTGCCCTTGACCTGGAATCGAACTGGAGACCCTTCAGTGCACAAGCTGACTCTATAATCATTGAGCCACACTGGCCAGGGTGGTTTTCCTGCTTTTATTATTTTTCATTGTTGTCCTTAGTTGGGGTTTTTTTTAGGGTGTGCCTCCATATTGTGAGAAAAAAGTGAAAGGAAGAAAAGCACAACGCATGGGGTTTTTTTAAAACTGTGCACAGAGTTTTTAGGGAGCAGGTCTTCATAGTGCCCTGACTTGTTTTAGCAACAGCTTGCTTTTTGTGAGTCTGCAGCAGCCCTGGAATGCTGCCTGCGGAGCTGGAGGGCGGGGGTGGGGTGGGGGTGCTGAGGGGAGACCATGAGCACTCGGTGTCCTGTCACATCATGTCACACCAGGGAGCTGGGAACCATCTGCAGGAAGACCAGGAAGAGCAGATTTGCTGGAGGAATGTGGAGGCCAGGCATCCATTCCAGGCAGATGTCCTAAGGAGAGCCCCCCGGCATCTCCCATTGTTCTCTGCAGGGGTTCCTGGCTCCCATACTCCCCCAATAGCCCCTTCTCTGGGTGTCATCACTGTCTCATACATACTGTCTCATACAGGGCACTATGGAGATCTGCTCCCTAAAAACGTAATCCTGGGAACTCTTTACGAGACATGGAGTGATTCCCGTCTCATTGATGAAGAAACCAAGGCCTACAGAGTTAAATAACCTGTCCATGCGCATACCCTCCAAAGACAGGGCTAGTCTTTTACCCAGTCCTGTGAAAGTTGCTGCTTATATTACCTGTGCTAGATTGTAAGTAGGCCTCCCCTATGCAGGAATGGAAAATATCTACACTGACTGGACATGTCCCAGGGGTGGGGGCAGGGCAGGGGCCCTTTTGGCCTTTGACTTTGCCCAAATTATAGTTGGAGGAGAGAAACCCCAAGTGTCGGTGGCCCCAGCCAGCAGGTGACAGGTGGGAAAGTCATGTGGAGTGGCAGGACAGTGATAAGCACATTGTTTGGGGAGCCAGGATCTGCCTCTGGGAACCTGACAGGATTCAGGTATCCTAGGTCATTGCAGGCCCTCCCCACCTCCAGCCCCCCCATGGCCAGTGGCCCTACCTTTAGTGACTAGGATAGGGATTTGAAGACACAATCCCAAAGAGACATAGCAGTCCCTAGTTGGGGGCCAGTGGCCACTGCCACCTTAAGCTCTAACAGAGGAAATGGACCCTTTGCAATTGGACCCCCTGCCTGGGAAAGGGCTCAGCTTTGAAGACTTTGTTCAGTTTGCAGAAGCCCAGGGAACTGAGGATGACAAAAGTGACACTAGAACATCAGTCAGCTGGGTGGCCAGTTGGGTCTAGCTGTTTCCTGCCCTTCACTGAGTGCTTTGAGAAACTGAACAGTTGTCATCCAGGGACAAAGGGCTGAGGAGGCTTCATACACTGTGTCCCCTTCCCACTTGGACTGTGACACTAGCCTTGACCCATCACCCCTCTTCGAGCAGAGTGCCAGCTCCACCCTGGTCGCTATTCCCAACATCAGGAGGTGACCATCCCTTTCGCGAGGGCAGTAACCATCTGTAGGGCAACCCACAGGCCAGCCTGAACATGCAGCTGACCCATCAGGAAACCTGAAGGATCACAGCTTTCAAAGTAGAGAAAGAACGCATAGCCAGACCGAGAAGCGAGTGTAAAAGAAACTTGCCAACATTCAGAACAGTCCATAGTGAAGCAGAACAGCTGACAGACAGCCTTATATGGGCCTTCTCTGCAGTTCAGGCCCTGGGAGATTCGGCCTGTCAGCAGTATCCGTAATCCCAGGCTGCAAACACACTGGGGAACTTCATTTTCTTGGTCTCAGGCCAGCAGCCCTTCTTAACTCCTTGATGTCCTCCCAGAACATAGCCTCTGGATGAGGGTATATGGGAGGTGGGGGGGTGTGAACTAGAGGCCATAGATATCCACACTCCCAAGGACCGTCCCCCTTCTATGACACGGTGCCTGACGATTTCCAGGACATACAGCATTGCCTGCAGTCAGCTGACTTCCCTGTTTCCAGCTTGTGACCTGGGGCAGCTTGTTTTGTTGGTCTGTGCCTCGTCTTCCCCATCCTGAAACTGGCAGAAAATACACACCCACACCTCTCTGAGGCAGAGAAGTCCATGCTTGGCACGTGGGGTTGACGGTGGTGCTCATTAATGAGAACGGTCATCAGTGGGGTGGAGAGGGACCAAGAGACCCGTTGGGAGCAGAGTTAGGTTTCCTGGTAACCCTAACTATGTTATGTTATGTTATGTTATGTTATGTTATGTTATGTTATGTTATGTTATGTTATGTTATGTTATGTTATGTTATGTTATGTTATGTTAGTTGGAGATAATAAACTATTCTAAGCAAGTGGGGGTCAGAAGCTCTGCTGGGTTTTGCTCTCCACACAAATAGGTGTGGTGAGTGCTTTTTGTAAGATGGGGTTGAGGTGGTGACAGAGGCTGGTGTGTCCTCCCCAGCCAAAGCTGAAAGTCCCGATAAACAGGTGAAAAAGAATGCCCTGTTTCTGGTGTAAGGGACACTCTGGTACCTGCCACTGCTACACCAAGGGCTTTTTAAAAAACTAGCTATAATGTCAGCCTGAAATAGGCAGAATAAACAGCCCTTAAGCAAATTAATACAGTAATCCTAGAGAAGGCTTCGTGACGAATAACTTTTTCCATGAGTCAGACAGAAAGCCCACATTCACTTGTTTTGTAAATGGGAACGCTTTGTCATCCGCCATGGCCAGCCCTTGCTAACGAGCTGGGTAGAGGATAGGAGGAGCTTTGTAAGGGGAACCCCTGGATGGATGGTCCTTTTAACAGCAGCCCACTCCCGTGGCTTCCAGGGGGCGTCTTGCAGATGAGCTGTCCTGTAGCTGCTGCTAAAATCCCCGTAAGCAGCTGCATGGGAGCTGGAGGGGAGGAAGCCCAAACACCCCAGATCTGCAGCTGCTTGAGCAGGATCTAAAGCCAGCAGCGCCCTTTGCCCTCCTAAAGTCTCCATTCACAAAGCCCGAGAGTGACTATCTCATATTAACTGGGGCCCATTAGGAGGATTCTCTCTCTCTCTCCCTCTCTCTCTCTCTCTCTCTCTGCCTCTTTAAACTGGAAATGCTCTTTCCCATCACAGCTCCCTGATGCTGCCCACCCAACCCCCTGACTTCTGCCAGGGTCTCCAGGCTTACCAACTCAGATATGGACTTAGAGAAGACGTGTCAGTCTGTTCATTCCCACTCAATGGGTTTCGTGTACTTGTAAATCCTTTTGATCTCTTAATACCCCCTATTTATTCAGCCCCCTCTATGGAGCTCAAAGGAGTGACTCATCCTTCATAGTCTTTTCCCAATGAGATGGAGAGAAACTGGGCCTTGTCACTGTGCACTGGTGTCCCCATGTCAGAGCCCTCCTCCACGGAGCCTAGGCGTGGGGCTGCACTGCCTCTCTGTGTAGCCTGGGGCCCCACAGTATGGGATTGCCTGGGAGGATGGGACTTGACTCAAGGACAAGCTGCATTTGTCCCCTTGCCCAGTCTGGGCCAGGCATGCACGGGAACAATACCCATATTCATACCACATAGGGGTTTGCCAGTAAAACCACGTGACTTGACATCACGACAGATGTGAGGGAAAGAGAGAAGAGACACAAATGCTCTCTTGTGTGCACTCTGCTCCATGCTGCCCGTGAGCTTCAGGCTGCGTGGTTTGTTGCCTGCAAAGCCTTGACCCCATAGTAGGGGTACAGATGTGTGCCAATGAAATCACTGACACCTGCCAAGGATTCTCACTGCAGTATCCTGTTGTGCATTGTGTGGAAATACCATAGATTCTCTCACTTTCAGCCCCTACTTCAGGAAAGTTGCCCTGGTCCCACTTAGCAGGGAGGGATCAGCAAGTATATAAAAATTTAGCACTGTGGTTAATAATTATCACTCATCCTTTGCATTTTTAAGATTAACAGTAGCTTGCATTTGTTGTGCACGTTTTGATGACATGTCACTTAATTCTCACAACCACCTCGTGGTGGACAGTTACCATCCCCGTTTTACAGATAGAAAAATGTTGCAGAGCCCAGCCTGCGTGGCTCAGCGGTTGAGCCTCAACCTAGGATCCAGGAGATCGCAGTTCGATTTCCGGTCAGGGCACATGCCCGGGTTTCGGGCTCGATCCCCAGCAGGGGGCACACAGGAGGCAGCTAATCAATGACTCATCATTGATGTTTCTCTCTCTCCCTCTCCCTTCCTCTCTCTCTGAAATCAATAAAAATATCTATTTTTTTTAATGCCACTTGATTGAAAAAAAAAGAAAGAAAGGTGTTGCACAGAGAAATTAAATGGCTTTCCCAGTGTGACGGTGCTGGCTTTTAAACCCAGGTGTTCTGGGTTTCAGAACTGCTGCTCTCAGGAGCCCCTTCTGAGGGTGGGTAAAACATGCCTGGAAGATAGGGAGGCTCAGGACTTCTCTGCCCATTTTTCCATGGGGCCTGCATGTTGGGGGAGCCATGGAAGGGAGTGTTCCCTGCAGAACAGCTGTGACTTCTCCAGAATATAACTGCAAGATGCACCCCTCTAGGCATTACCTGGGGGTGACTAGGGCTAGTATACGCCACGGTGTCCCCTGTCCCAGGAATGTGTCTTTTGTTGGGCATAGTCAGAAATTGTAGAAGTCACTGCCCTTCCCACCGCCGCCTCTCCGTTGGTCACTAAAAGTGAGGGCATAGAAACAGTGTCACTCACCCCCCCCTTAACAAGATGATCTATCCTTTCACCCTTACTAGAGTTACTGATTGCAACTGCAAGATCTCTTTAGTGTGCTATAGTGGGGGATCTTTTTCAGTTATCTAGCAGCCAACCTCTCATTTTACTGATAAGGAAATTGAGGCCAAGTCTTACCCAAGATCACACAGAACTTAGTAGCAGAGTTAGGACCAAATCAAAACTCTCCTGATGCCAGGCCTATCTTCTTTGCACTAGGCCTATCCACGTTTGTCAACATGTGCCCTTGGGTGTTACTAACTGCACATGCCTCGCTGCCACCCACAGCAGCTGTCCCTTCTGGGAAGCAGGCGAAGCTGACAGCCTGAGTGTTCACAGCCCCTTGCTGCTGAAAGCTAGCTCTGAGTCTCTTCTGTCAAGTAGAGACTCATCAGAGTCCCAGGAATTTACCCCGAGTTTGGAGGGTCTGTTTTAATGGGCATGAGTGGATTAATCTAGCTGGAAACAGGTGACAGACTAAACCAGTTTGTGTCCTGAGTAGAATCTGGGGGTTCCCGAGGATATTCTTTGTCCCAGTTCAGGGGGAATAGGCACCTTCCAGGAAGGCTGAGGGTGAGGTAGGAGTGAGGACTTGATGTGAGGGGTCCTAGAAGAGAGACTAGTGGGAAGGAGACCTGAGAGCAAAGGTGGAGGGGCCGCTTTTTAAGGAGGAGGCACTTCTTCCCTGAGTTAAGGCAGCACAGTCATATAGGGGGAAGGAACTGCAGGAAACAGCTGGGCCACCACACGAATGTCTCCATGTCTTGTCTGTCCTCTCTCTCCCCTCAGGAGTTTATATTCTGATTGGAGCCGGTGCCCTCATGATGCTGGTGGGTTTCCTGGGCTGCTGTGGGGCTGTGCAAGAGTCCCAGTGCATGCTGGGATTGGTGAGTATCCCTTCTGTGTTCCTTGCACTCACTCTGGGGCCCCCTTCCCCCAAGATCCCATAGAACAAGTAGGGTGGGATGAGGTGAACAGGGTACCCCAAGGGCTGAGCTGTCCTCAGCCCCACCCGCCCAGGGCCCCTCCGCTCTGGGCCACCCCAGCTCCTGGGCAGGCAGCCGTCTTGCCCTCTTCCCCTGTGGTGATGCCTCCCTCTGCCTCTCTGGAGTCTATCTTATCACTTCCCTCAGGTGACTAAATGCCAGGACTTTGTTTTTCCTTTTTTTGAGGGCCACGCTTGCTTTTTTCCCCCGAATCCACAGGTACCTTTGCCTTCTCTTGTTTCAAAAATGTGTTACAATTTTCCTCAAACTCCAGAGTGTGCTCACTTTATTTCCTCAAGTCTCTGTGGTTTTTGTGAGTGAGCAATGGTATTTTATATCGCTGACTCCTAATTAACTCGTTAGAAATACCCAGTCCTTTCCGTCTACAGCTTTCGCTCCTCGCCTGGGCTTAACTCTCACAGTTACGCGAACCTCTCCATTCGTGTCCCCAGATGCCCGGTTCCCAGAGACTTTCCATTCCTCCTTGTTCTCCAGCACACCCTTTGATTTTTCTGTCGCCTAGGATTGTTTCTCACCCCACCCCTTTTTGCCTTCTAGTTCTTTGTCTTCCTCTTGGTGATATTTGCCCTTGAAATAGCTGCAGCCATCTGGGGATATTCGCACAAAGATGAGGTAGGTTTTTTTTCTGTGAGACCTCTTGGGGCCTCCGGGGACATGGGTTTGGGAGTTTGTGGAGGGAAGTGATGAGAGTGGAAGGGTGTCCTGGCTGGGCACTTTATCAGCTTTCACCAGGCCTCTTGTTTCACCACGTTCCCCCATGCCCCTAGAACACGAGCTTCCCCAGGGCAGGGAATATAAGCGTTTATACTACTCTGGGCGGGTATTGTGCCAACCACTGCTTCCAGTTCCCCGAACAGTGCTGGCACATAGTAGGTGTTCAGCAAATAATCCTTGGGTCTGTGTATCTGTGCGTGTGTCTCACACCTCAGCAGCCCCTCCCCAGCTCCCCTGGAGAGACTGCTTAAAGAAGCACGGCTTCTGGGCTGGAAGCCCTTCCTCATTCGCCTAGTCTATAAATCTGAGCCAAGTGCCGTGCAGGGTCTGGAGATGCACAGACTGTTGTCCTCACTTTAAGGACCTTTGCCACCTAGTGTGGCAGAAAGACATGCATTAAATAAGTGTCGTAGAAGTCACTTACATCCAAAAGTCCCATGGGTTTGAAAGGATTGGCTGGGAAAGAGGGATCTCTGGCTTCATGGAGAAGAGAGCATTGACCTGAACCTTGAATGAGAAATAAGATTTCAGGAGGAAAGTTGGTGGGAGACAGCGTACTTCCCGGCAAAGAAAGGGTCTGAATAGAGCTCAGCTTGGGCTCCATGGGGAGACCAAAGAGTGATGGGCCAGGATGGGCCATATCAGACAATGTTTTAGGAAGGGCTGTTTGTCATGTTTAGCAGGAGGGAGGAAAGAAGAGAAACACTAGATGCAGGAGCCCTGTTTTAAATTTAAAAAAAAAAAAAAAAGATTTAATTATTCAGATGTAGAAGTTTCAGTCATGGAAATAGGAGGGGATAATTATGAAAGATACTGAAGGAGAAATGCTGGATGTTGGTCAGTTTATTGTAAGGGGGGGGGCGCATTAAGTTAGGACACACACAGTTCCAGGAGGATGATAGTATATCCTTTATTTTATAATAGCTAATACATATTCCAAATTTACTTTGTACCAAGAAATAGTCATTGGGTTTAGGACCCACCTCCTATATTTCCCTGAGTTCTCCTTTCCATCCACCAACCAAGACACCTGAGCATTGAGTAATGTGCATGACACATTGAGATTTTCACAATAAGCTCTCAGGCAGGGATTAATAGCATCATCCTAAAGATGCGGGAAGTGATGTGCAGAGGGGCTTGGTTCATTTGCCAAAAGTCACACAGCCTTAAGTGAAGAAAGAAAGAAGATGAAAGCCTTAGGAACTAACCAAATCAGGAGTGATTTTTTTTTTTATTATTATTTACATTGAGGAGACTCCATTTTGTGCGTAGATAGAAGGGAAGGAGCCAAGCAGAGCTGAAGGGACCAACCGTAGGTGCAGGAGGAGGGAAGATGGCAGGAGCAGGTTCCGAGAGAATGGGGAAGAGCGCAAGGGGCCCAGAGATGCCGAGGGGTAGCAGGGCGGGGCAGGCCAGTCTGCTCGGTAACATTTCCTGGGCACAGGGATTTGTCGACTGAATATAAAGACGACAGAACAGGTCATCTTTGCTCATTTGTTCTGCTGCTCTCTCCTCTCTGTCCATCACAGGTGATTAAGGAGCTCCAGGAATTTTACAGGGACACCTACTCCAAGCTGAAGTCCAAGGACGAGCCCCAGCGGGAAACACTGAAAGCCATTCACTATGCGGTATGTGTTATTTGCAGAGACTCCAACCAGTCCCCAGAACGTGTGCACGGGGCACTTGCTTTACCAGACCAGTGCATCTCTATTTCAGTCACTTCTTTGGTGGTTTCTCTTACCTCCATCCCTGCCCTTCTCTCTGCAGTTGAATTGCTGTGGCGTGGCTGGGGGAATAGAGCAGTTCATCTCGGACATCTGCCCCAAAAAGGATCTAACCGCAGTCATTGAAGTGAAGGTAAATTGAAGAGCAAGATTTTGTCCCCCTGCCCACTTGCTCTGGGCAAATCCCACAAGGGTAGAAGTGAAAGTAGCCCTCCCGTGCCAGGAGGGCAGGTAGCCAAGCGCTTTATAAATACTTCTTCCACCTGTAAGATCCCAGGGTGGCCACCTCATTTCTCCCCTGCCCTGGAGCCTCTGTGTTCTCAAGGACAGCAAAACAAAGGCCAGACCAGGAAAACAGCAAAGTGTTCTAGCTGCCTGTGGTGATTTGGCACCTGAAACTGCCCAGTGCTGCCCCTACGTTCTGCCTCCCCCAGCATTCAAGGCATCAAGGACAGGTGTGCTCAGAGTCCTGGACATTTGCTTTGTAAATGGCTCAAGATTGTAAGCTAGAGCTAATGTCCAAACTTCAGAATGATGACATGTAACCCAGACAAGAAACAGACCCAAAGCAGGGATTTACCAATCTTTCTTCTGTGATTTCTCACCCAATTATTTGGGACCCACCTCCTGTATCTCTCTTGGTTCTCCTTTCCATCCACCAACCAAGACACATGAGCACTCCTGTTCCCTCCCCTTTCTCTGGGACCACTAGTGCTCTGGGTGTGAAACGGATGCTGTGGGAGGAAGGAGGTGTGCCCAGAGCAGGCACCGTGCATGACCAGGGTCTTGGTTTGTCCCCCTAAGCCCTGCCCTGAGGCCATCAAAGAGGTCTTCCACAACAAGTTCCACATCATCGGAGCTGTGGGCATCGGGATTGCCGTGGTGATGGTGAGTGTCCAGGATCAGGGGACGGTTCTCTTAGTAGTTAACATTGATTAAATGTATGCTCTAGCCAGGCACTGTGTTAAATGCTATACACATTTATCAACTGTTTGAATCCTCGCCATGCCTATGAGGTGGGCACTCTTAGCATTCCCATTTTAGAGGCTAGGGAATGGAGAGACAGAGAAGTTGAGTAAAGTTGATCAAAGTCTCTGAGCTTGTGAGTGAAGCATCTGGGAGTTGAACTCGATGTGTCTCCAGAATCCATTCTCTTAACCATTAAGGGGTAAATGTAAGGTGGTCCAAAGCTGCTGGTCCACGGACCGTGCATGGATGTAGGATCACGCGAGGACCTGGGTCACCTCAGACCTGTTAATTATCCTGGGATAATCTTCAAAACATGTTTTCATCATACACCTGCTCTTCTTTTTCCCAGGAAAGTAGTTCAGTAAAAGCTACATGGATGTGAATTGTTTCACCTCCCCCTGTAGTCTGAAAGGCATCCAGGTTGGACAGCCAAAAGAAAGCTTGAAAGCGTCAAATAATATGCTCTCTAGTAATCAGCTCCCAGAATCCATCAAGGGTCAACGAGGTCCCCTGGGGTCTCCCCCTCTTTCCCCAGTAGGGAGTGATGAGAACTCTGCAGGGGGCCTGACCCTCCTCTGCCCCTCACAAGACTACCCCAAAAGCAAGAATTGCTTCCTTTCTTAGTGGTTATTTGTACCTCTCATCTGCATCTAAGTAAAGCTTGGAGTAGCTTTCAGTAAAAGAGATAACAATACCTTTTAAAATAGAATATAAAACACACAAATACACAGAGGTGGAAGCGAAAGTTCCAGCCTGTGTGGGCTATTGGAATATTTGAATTTCAGCATTCATTTTAGCTCTGAGTTTTTGTCTCACCCTGAAAGTTCTACAGGGAAGTTGCTTGTGGGGTTTGCATTAGCAAGTAGCTGCAGACTCTCAGAATCCTACCAGTCGGTGACCCTCCCATTATCTAGCCTACGATTCTCCTGCTTTGACATTTTTACCCATTTGGCCTCCCAGTCACCACTCTCCTGGTCCTTTGTCTTGGCCTGAATGACTCAATGTCTTTCCCTCAGCAAAGCCAACCTGTTCCTCCTGTTCCTTCCTGTCTTCTAGGTGTTTGGCATGATCTTCAGTTTAGTCCTGTGCTGTACTATCCGCAGGAACCGAGAGATGGTCTAGAGTCAGCTTGCACTCCTGAGCAGGAAAGCTCACCCCTGAAGCTTGTTGGTTACTTCCCTGGGGTCTTATTTTTGTTGTTTTGTTGTTGTTTTTCCTTTTTGACACTAACTTTTAGTATTCATTCTGCATTTCTAAACAAAGAAAAAGTTATTCTGTGTGTATCTTTTTAATGCTTTATTCAATATTCATAGTTGAGAGATTGAGGGATTTGGTTTGCTTTTGGTTTATAATTTTTGGTTGTTTGTTTTTGCTTATTATGGTAGGCAGAAATCCTGCAATGAAAGGTACTATATTTGCTAGACTCTAGACAAAAGATATTGTACATAAAGAGAATTTTTTTTGTCTTTAAATAGATTTTTAAAAGTGTCTATCAAACTTAATCAGATTGTAACTTATGTTGAAGACAATTTGATACATAATAAAAGATTATGACAATATCCTGGACTGGTGGTGGGGTTTTGTGGCTCCCTTTATTTTTTTTTTAGAGCTATGTATTTCTCAGATGTCTTTTACCTGCTATTTGCTTTAATTGCATTTATATGAGAAGTAGGTTGGAAGGTTGGTTTTCCTACTTTACTAATGAAGAAATCCAGGTGAGGTGAAGGGATTGTGACCCAAGTTCACATACTGTTAATAGAGTCAACGCACTAGAACCCCAACCAGGACTCGCAGCAGTGTGTTGTGTGTTGGGGATACAGCAGAAACTGCGGGCGCCATGATGTCAGGGACTTTGTTTTATTCACTGTGCACCTAGTATCTGGTGCATAGTAGCTGTTCATTATTTGTTATCAAGTAATATTTGTTGGTTGATAAATGAGCACGTACCCATCAGGGTTTAACCCAAGAAGCAGAATATGAAATATTATGGAGAGAGAGAGAGAATTTGCTACAAGGATTTGACTTTACACAATCATTGGAGCTCACTAAGCAGTCTCTGTAAGACAGTTGTCTTTGCGTCTGACACGAGCCTGAGGCTCACAGGGCAGACAGGAAGGACAGATGAGTGTGAATTGGGGGAAGAGGGCAAGAAGAAGCCGGAAATCACAAGCACAAGCCCACCAAGACGACAAATCTGTGTAGGCTCTTGTTCCTCTGATGTCAGTGGTGTGTGTCCTGCAGAGACCGGGAATCTGTAGTATGGCCAGGGGTTGGAGAAGCTGAAGTGAGCCCCCCAAAAGCAACAATTTGTGTGAGCTGCAAAATGGCTGCTGCTTCATTTCCCTCCTCCAGACCTCCCACAAGGATCTCCTGCATCTCCTCCTGCTCCACTCTAACCAGAAGCATTCAGGAAGGGGCGTGCTGGGAAGGGTAGTTCAGCTTGACCAGGTCGACCACTCACTAAGCCACCAGTGTGGGAGACGTGGCCCTGCTCAGAATGTCTGCAATCTAGTGGGCAGTTCAAACTTAGGCAATTACCACAGGGAGATGAACACTTCGAGAGGATAAGTACAGAGGCATACAAAGCCTGTTTTTATTTTCCACCCCTTGATTCAGTTTGAGTTCTTTCTTAATGTTAAAAAAAAAATTTTTTTTTAATCAGAACACCAATGTTCCTAACAGCATTATTCATAATAGCCAAAGTAGCAACAACCCAAATATCCATCGACAGATGAATGGATAAATGAAATGTGGTCTATCCATACACTCTACAACATGGGTGAAGCTTGGAGACATTATGCGAAGTGAAGTAAGCCAGAAACAAAGGAAAAAATGCTGTGTGATTCCAATTATATGAGGTACCTAGAATAAGTAAATTCATAGAGACAGAGAGTACATTAAGGATAACTGGGGGAGGGGAGAATTGGGAGCTATTTCAATGAGTACAGAGTTTCCATTTGGCATGATGAAAATTTTCTGGAAATAGATTTTGGTGATGGTTGCATTGTGAATATGCTCAGTGCCACTGAAGTGTACACTTAAAAATGGCTAAAACGTAAATTTTACGTTATATTTACCACAATTTATTAAAAGATCATCTGGGTCAGCATCCTGAGTTTCATTACCATCTATGGCCCCAGGTCCCTTTTTTGAGCATTTGAAGGCTAACTAGTGTTGATGGAAATAACAGGTGAGAGTGAATGAGTCTATGTTAACATACGGCATCACGGACCCTGCTTAATTCTAATATCCACTGTTTGCCAGCTCCCTCTAGGAAAAGCAGGTCCCGTATACACACTTCCACCCTACTTCTTTGCTGAAGGTGGGTGGAGTCAGTATAACAAATTGATACTATTTAAATTGAGGACAGGATTTCCTCAGTGTTATACCATCTTTCAGTGTGTCGGAAATAACGGACCAATTGGCTAGCTTAAGCGAAAGTGAACAATTTATTAGGAACACAAGTGGTGTCTCATGGAACCCAAGAATAGAAACACAATTGAGCCATAGGAAGAACCTGGAACTGTGGGTGAGGAACCGCAGCTGTCCACTTCTGCGTGCTGTTTGCTCTCAAAGGGTCCAACTGTCTCTGCTACTCTGTCCTCATGGAGTGGGAAAAGGGCCCTCAACTTCCAAGCCTACACAGTGACAATCTCCAGTACACCCATTAGAAGCTTTAGGAAAGAAGATCTGACCCAGTTTCAGTCAAGTATCTATCCAATCAGCTGGCAGGTAGCGGGGAGGGGTGCATGTAGCAAAGACCAGGCCACCCTCTGACCTGTAGACTGGGCCCAGGACCAGAAGAGGAGCAATCACTGAGAGACAGAAGACACCTAGAAAGGAGCCAGCTGGTCCACCCTGCTGTCAGTCCAGTGAAACAAGCTTGTCTGACTCCCGGTGGACCAGTCCAGGTGATGCTCTGGAGTTAAGGCAAAACCAAGATGGTAAGTAGCCCTCAGGACCTGAAGGACTTATGGAGCAAAGGCCTTTAGGAAGTTGTAGGTCACAAAAAGGCAACAGACTCTGCCAATAACAACAATAGCTTTGGGTTCACAAAGAATTTATATGCATATATGCACAACCCAAGGACACAGACAATGGTGGGGAGAGGGACTGGGGAGGGGGATGGGATGGGGTAGAACGGGTCATTGGAGAGAAAAAGGGACATCTGTAATATTTTAAACAAAAATAAAATTTAAAAATTAAAAAAAAACCAATAGCTTTGGGTTCAGAAAGAACCTCCTTAAGCAAAAGAGGAATACACAGCTGGGTATGTTGGCCTCTGGTTCAACTATTAAAAGCAACCCAGGACAACAAATTTGAAAAACAGCCGGAGTTCGGCCGGGCATGGCTCAGTGGCTGAGCATCGATCTAGGATCCAGGAGATCGCAGCTCAGTTCCCATTCAGGGCACATGCCCAGGTTGAGGGCTTGATCCCCAGTATGGGGCATGCAGGAGGCAGTCAGTCAATGACAACTCTCTCATCGTTGATGTTTCTCTCTCTTCCTCTCCCTTCCTCTCTCTGAAATCAATAGATACATTTTTTAAAAAAGAAAAGAAAAACACCTGGATAGCAAAGGTTATTCACCCAGTGCCCTTCAAGAACTGAAAGTGGCCCTGACCATTTTTCTCAGTGGTTAGAGTATCAGCCCATGGACTGAAGGGTCTCAGGTTTGATTTTTTTAAAAAGATAAATGGTTAAGACACCAACTGTATTTCAGATCTTTGACTATATTTTGCATTGTACAATGGATTTCATTTTTCATGAAATGTCCACTTTTCTACTTGTTAAAATAGAGGTATTGATGAAAAAAAAGCATCCCTGTTGTTATCTTCTGTCAGGATACAATCCCTGGCCCCAGTGCTTGTGGCTAAGGGAGCAATATCAATGTTGAACATCCCCCATGGCCTCCCAAGCACAGGAAATTAGGCAGAAAGAACTTCCTGGGCACCTTTCCTGATAAGAGCTGACTAGCTCAAGGACCACCTGGGACAGCCACCCTAGATGAAACCTGCCTCATAGTCTTTACACTCTAATGGAGTCTACAGTGGGATTCTTGGAGTAGATACACCTGCTGAGGGGTGTTCTCCTTAAATAAGTATGACCACACTCCAAAAGAAGTAGGATTGTGCATTCGGTCTTTGAAAAAGGGAAGTTACAGAGGGTCTGTGAACAAAGGATGGTCAATGGAGAGTCAGGTGCAGGTCCACAGGTCCCAAGCCAGGGATCATCAGAGTCTAAGGACTTTATTCCACCAAGCTAAGTTTTCTCCACTCCTCCCCCAGCCCGTCCCCACCTGCCCTCAGTTATAATGCTGCTTGGAGAGGCCTGAGCAGATAATGTAATAGTTTTCACTCAAGCTTTGGCCTGCAAACCCCTAGAGAACTAATTTGATTTCTTCCTTTTTAAATTGGATTTCCCCAAACCATCTGCTTCCCCTTTGGCTATGCAGGCAGGATCAGATCTTATCCCAGTGTAGAATTTTCACTAGGAAGGAGCCAGAGCTGACCTTCTGGCCAAGCAAGGCAATGAGGGACCAGCAAGGCTGTTCCAGCACAACCTGCAAGGACGGTACTGCTTCAAAACCGCCTTGGAGCTTTTCAGGTGAAATCCAGCTCAAGGGTCAACTAGCAGTGACATCCTCTTGATAACCTCCTCCAACACCTCACCCCTCATGATCAGCTCTTTCAATGCCACATGCCCCCTCCTTCCACAATGTGTTCTGACTGGTCAGCAAGGGGTTTCACTAGCATGGAGGTGGCTCATTTGGCAGCTGTCTGCATAGGAGGCAGATGCCACAGCATCAATATAGGCACATGCAAGAGAAAACAGACCATGGTTTCCAAAATAAGTAACAATTTTCTCTACCAAGAGTCATGATCCCAACCATTGATTTACTAAGACCCCTGGGCTAGGGGGTCCAATCACTAAGGTCCTCAAGTGATTTAATAAAGGTACATTAGCAAATTCATCAGGTATGAACACACAACATTCTGTTTGAATGACATAGGTGCCTTCTTGTGATGCAGTAATAACATCCAGAGCCATCCTAATTTGGAGGACAGTATTTCTCATTAGAGGCACTTCAGTATTCAGTAGAGACAGGCTTGTCTGGCTGTCATTTAGGGCTTGCTGGGTGAATTTAGTAAGGGCTTCTATATGAGCTCTAATGTCCTCCAGGCCAATGGAGGGACTAGAGACAGCAGCCAGGTGATTGTACCAATGAAAGGCAGTGAGGACACCTCAGGCTCTTGCAGGTGAGTTCAAATGTCCCTCCGCATGTCCTGACCCCACAAGGGCACTCTCATGATCATCCATCCACCCCCCATCTTCCTGTTGTCCCAGCCATATTCTGAGTTCATTCAGCCCACTGGCTGCTGTGTGAGGGGCTCTACCTGGAGGCCCCCTGTGTACACTGCTAGGAGCTGTTGCTTTATGGGGGTATATTGGGGTTCTATCCCTTTCCAGAGCTGGGATCAAAATCCTAGGGGCACTCTCCCCTTTTGTTGTCTCTGCCACAGTGCCCAACCCACACCTTCCAGAGTCACAAATACAGCTAACTCAA